ATTTGTTGTTATCTGTTGTTATCTGTTGTTATCTGTTGTTATCTGTCGTTATCTCGACACAAAATAAATACCTCTGGAGGACGGGTGACATGGCCATTCCGCTACAGCTTGCGTTGCCTGACCAATGACAGAAGGTCGATATAAGGCCGAGTACATAATTGAAGACAATGTAAGATCACGTGTTCCTAAGAACAGAGTTCTGCATATCGTTGGAAAAAGGCGACAAAGGGCTATCTATTAAAAGCAATGACGAAGCGCTATTCTGTTCCTACGCCCAGTTATTCTTGTTCAAAGATTGAAAGCCTAAATGCAACACCAAGGTCAAGTCCAGAAAAAATTGTAAGCCTTCTAATCGGAACTTACTTGAAGTATTTCACGAAATCAGGCTTTTGCTCGTTATCTCGAAATCATCTATATAATTTAGATGTGACTTGACCTTGGTGTTGTTCCCAGATCTTCAGTTTCCCATGCACATTGTTATACTTTACTTTTATCCTCCGCTTATACCCTTTTGGGTGTCGCGGGAAGAAAGAGACGTCTCTCTGTCGCCAGCCGGAGAGCTTGGGTCAGGGGAATGGCGTGGGTGGTTAGTGTTTCCCTAACTCCATCTATCCAGGTCTTTCTCGGTCGCCCTCTAGCCTTGTTGCCATTATTTTTTTTAATGTAGGCACGTTGTGCTGGATTATGTGTTGATAATCACATGAGATGCCCCAACCATTTGATTCTTTGGTGTTGGATATGATGCAACTTGGCTATCATCATCATCATCATCATCATCCAGTGCCTTGCCGACTGGCGTGGGCGATCATGGACCTCCATTTCACTCTGTCTTGCGTTGCAGCGATGGTGTCTGTTGTTCTTGCAGCTCCTAGCCATGTTGTCATCTTGTCCAGCATCTTTTCCCTCTGTCTGCCTCTGGCTCTCTTTCCATCAAACTTGCCTGTTATTACAATATTCTCAACATTGCTATATGGGGCGTTTAAACGATATTATAACGTTCCTTCCAGATGCACCAAGGCGACCTCCGTGTCTCCGGATGTTACCAGCCTGTGGCGGGAAAAATCGTCTTCAACATTCTGGAGGCCAGGAACCTTCCCCGAGTGTCGTTACTGGGAGCAATAAGTGAGTACCGTGTCTCTGTGTGTGTGTGTGTGTGTGTGTGTGTGTGTGTGTGTGTGTGTGTGTGTGT